TTTTAATGCTGCGACCCCCAACCGGTCATAAGTCGAGGACTACTCAACCGGTCGTAAGTCGAGGACTACTCAACTGGTGCAGCACCGTTTGCAGAATGGGACTTTTGGCAGGCTCAGCAGAGCAGAGACAGCCTGGACAATTCCTATTGGCTTTTGAAAGCCAATAGAATTAGACTCTATTCAAGAGAGTCTATTCTATTGGCTTTCAAAAGCCAATAGAATAAAAGGGAGTAGCACAGCTAAGGAAAAGGGGGAAAAAATGGTGGACTGCGTTGTTTGGCGACCCCCGTGAAATGGTCGTTTGACCTCAAATGGGGTCGCGACCCACAGGTTGAGAACCACTGCGCTAGATGGACCTCCTTAGGAGAAGGGACCATAGCATTCACTGCCTGCCCATTCTGGTGTGTCAAGTAGATGTGACCCGGAAAGAAAGTGTGCATATTTTTCTTAAATACAATGTGCAAAAACAGAGAGTTTATTCTGAGTATAAATCCATTCAGGATTTTGGAAAATGTTATTCAAGTGGTTGATAAAAGATGTAAAAAAAAGACTGATGAACACATGGATAAAAACATTAAGCCAACAACTATTTTTTTCAAATGCACGTGGAATAGGAAAATGACGAGGGAGGCCTTGGACTATTCAATGATAGGGCATTAAAATGGGCTGATGGAGGACAGAAAAATAGCAGAAAAACCAAATGCATTACAGTTAGTCCTCTACCTACAACCATTCATTTAGTGACTGAATGCTAGGTTGTTCCCATTTTACAAAGCCCTCAATACGTGTACCAACCAGCTTCAACTAGCTTTGTGCTTTTCTACAGGCAGGCTATTGCCTCATCCAATTCAATTCAAGGGAAACCATCAGTTGTATGGGGGTCATCTGTTGCTGGGAGAACTATAACTTGTGGTGTCTTCTTTCAAATATTCAAATCTTTCAAATTTGTTGGGTGCTTTTTCAAGTGATGCATATGTTGAAACCCTCCTGAGCAAACTTTTCTGCCTTCATGGCCTGCCTTAGGTGGGTTTCATATCCTCCTCTCCTCCAAGCATTCATATTTCATTCACACCAATATATGCCATAATTATTTAGAATGGCATTCATATAAAAGTTTTAATTTACTAATGTGGTTATACACATTAATATTACAGTAAGCATATTTCAAGAGCATCAACTTGCTTTTGAATGAATGTGCTGTCAAATTCTTGGCATTCTGTTTTGGTTTAAGAAGGGCTGTTTCTAGGTGTGGGTACCATCCTAACACACCTCTGCTTTTCTTAACTTCTTGCTGTTCAAGGATGCCATCACTGCGGTGATGAAGAGAAGCAGTAGTAGGCATCTGAGCTCCTTCCATCTCTGCTCCCTTTTGCTCTTTCTTGTGAGTTTAGTTCTTTCCCAATTCTACCACTGGGATTGCCAGTTTCAGTTGTCCTGGGAATAGGTACAGCAATAGAGCAGCTTGGCCAGACCAAAACCAATTCCACAGTGTGGGTTTGCCATTGCCTCCTTCCTAGGGCTGAGAGAAAGTGGCTTGCCCAAGATCACTCAGCTGTCTTGTTCCCTAAGGTGGGACTTGAACTTAAGATCTTCAAGTTTCTAGCCTGGTCCCTTAACTACTAAACCCATTCTTTTGTCCCCCTGCTATGTTGTGTCTTTGTAGAGCAGGGGTGTCAAACTGCCAGCCCATAGGCCTGATGCATCATAGCAAAACCCGTGCCTATCCCATTGCTGGCAATGACAAAAAAGTTGCGGTACATTGCGACATGTCACGGGATGTTGCGAGTTTGACACCCCCGTTGTAGAGTGTGAGCCTTACAGCAGTGACCTCTTTGTTTTTATTCAAGAATAAACCCCCACAGACTCCACTGGCTGAGTCCTTTGGGATTGTAGAAATACTGCAAAACAAACAAGAGGTTAATAATCAGATAACTACTAACAGTTTAATAATATAAAACAGCTAGGTAGAAAATAGGGTAATTTCATATTTTGTTAAAAGTTTTGTTAGATCTAAATCAGCGTTTCTCCATTTCAGCTACATTACTTTAAGATGTGTGGACTTCAATGCCCAGAATTCCCGAGCCAGCATGGGGAATTCTGGAAGTTGAAATCCACACATGCATGGGGCAATCCTGAGAGTTGAAGTCCACGTAACTCAAAGTGGCTGAGGTTGAGAAACGCTGATCTAAATCAGTGGTTCTTAACCTGGGCAATATTGCCCCCCAGGGGCGATTTCGTTTTTCAGGGGGGCGAAGGAACGAAAAGGGGCCAATATGGGGGCGATGGAGCGAGAAGTTTTGGGGACACTTTTGAGATTTTTTCATACAGTGAATCACTGTATATCTGATGGAGGGGGGAGCGCTTCTTTCAAAATATCGCATGCTGAGTGGCTCTGTAAAACATTTTGTATTGTACTTTTTTAGCATGCACTCCAGTTCGATATTATATTTTCTTTGTGTCTTTTTAATCCTTTTTGCAGTGTGCGTGACTATATATACTTTCCTTGAATCTTAATTTAGTTTCAGAGTTTTCGTCTTGAAATTCTTAGTTCCTGCATTGCGGTTTGTTCTTATGCCCTTTTTATATTTCTTTTTGCATCTTAAATTTCACTTGTAATTCAATCATTAAATGTTACTGTTTTTCTTTTCGGGCATTTCACTTTCTTGCAATTGAATTTTGTTTTCAGTGGTCATTACATTTAAGTGTCTTGAATAAATAAGATAATAATGAAATACATGTATCACGAAGTTTGGAAATAAAATGACAGGTGGCACCAAACTTTTTTCACACAGTTGAGATATGGGAAAAAGACTGGAAATAAATTATTTGCATCAATATGTCCTGATGACAATTTTAAAGAAAACAAAAAAAGTGTTTGGATAAATTGAAGAATTATTTCCTATGTTGTGACTGACAGGTTATGTTGGGGGAGGGGGGCGATGACAACTTCCTCATTGGCTCAAGGGGGCGATTGGTTCAAAAAGGTTAAGAACCACTGATCTAAACCATGTTCTTCAAGTCAGAGCTGTTTTAAGACTCACTATAGCCAGCAGATGGCAACATAAACAGTAGCAAAATCCTTCAACAGTTTAAAAGAAAATTATTGTTTTTTTGTACAAAGTCAAATCTCCTGTAAGTTATACTTGTTCCTTGGAACTTCATGATTACTTCCCCATAATTTTCTTAGCTGCATTGCCTTGGATTGCCTTCCTTACTTCCCAATCTAACTTAAGGTCATTGGATTCCCTGGTGGTCTCCATCCACATCAAAATCACGTTACCCTCTTTGATTACATCCTATCCTGTGGGATCAATCACAGTCACATATGCATTGGAGATTAGCTGAGCACCTCTAGTGATGAAGATGGTTATAATATGGGTAGAAGAGTATAGCACTAGTGGAGAGGACAACAGTTATCTAGTTCCCGTTGCATGAAAAAATATGACACCTATTGACTTAAAATTACAGGGCCGTTGCAAAGGGGGAAGTGACCCTATTGTGGTTTGTACTGGATGTATGTGCTTAAACAGTCTAGAGCCTGCTGACCTGCTGACTTTCTCCTTTTATGCTACTCTTAAATGGTCAATATCTTTCTATAGTTGCTGGAGTATAAACAAAAATTCATAATGGACAATGAATTTAGCAGAAGAGACAGAGTGATAGATCTGATTATATTAGGAGAAAGAGGGCCAGATTGCTGGATCTGAATAATCCCCCAGGGAGCAACTTTGACCAATATGGTTTTGATCTTGGCATAATTTGAATCCTATTTAAACTATCTATTTGCATCGGCACTGCAAGATCAAAAGAATATTTTGTATATTTCTTTTACGGATCTCTCCTTCCCATCAGTTGGTATTCTTGAAATTAACTTGTTTAAATTTGTTTGTTCTTAACAAGAGTTCCCTGTAACAGAAATGGGAAATGGAGCAACAGATATATGAGGATCCTTTGCCTTAGCCTACCCTTTGCTGAGATTTGCTTGCCTGCTAACCCAGTGGATTTGTTTTATTTTTTCAAATATTTTCTATTTCAGCCTTACCTCCCCCTTTTATTGCAATTTTTGTAGCTGCAAGCTCTTCAGCAACATGCTAAGCATCTATCATTATTACAAAAGTGCCCTTTTCCAGGATACCCCATTTTTTCCCATGATTTCAAGTCATGCCCTCTCCGTTATGTTAACCAGCATATAATTCCTGGCAGACCTAGTATCTTCACTCCTTATTTGGCTCTAAGAAATTAGTCTTCAATTAACTTTGATAGTAAATATTCCCCTGCACAAATTAAGTGTCCTTTGGGTCATTACAAGAAAAGACTGTGTAATTCAACTTGGCTAAGGTGATTCTGTCCTCTATCTCACCAGGCTCAGAAGGCATAATGTTGCAGGATCCAATCTGGGTTAGTCACCGAGACCGCAGGTTTAGTCTTCTGAGCTTTCGGACATGTGCTAGAGCTCATCCTCAGGGAACTTCTCTCTGTCAGAGTGTGTGCTGTTCTGTGTGTGGTATTTATGTGGTGCCTGTTTTCAACATCTACAAAGCCACATACAAACAAGCACGCAAACAAACAAATAAATAAATTCCCATCACTAGACACAGTCTTTCACCTCTATGATTTAAGTCAGAAACCAGCCATCCAGCACAAAACCTGGCAGCCTCAGTTTATCTACTGAGTTCCGATTTTTCATTGCCTCCTCATGAATTCAAATCCAGCTTGGATGATGCCTGCGTGTCAGCCTTAGAATCGACCGGTGCAAACCATGATTTTTTTTTTTTTTAAATCTAAGCCTCCCCATTACAAGCTGTGTTTTCTAACAGGCAAATAAAACCAAGTCCAAGAGTTTATTCATGAACACTTCTAGGAACCAACTAAAGAGGAAACGTGGACTGTCATCAGCCCTTTGGGAAGGGCGGGTTTAGGACGTATGAACCACCTGACACAATTGCTTCTTGGTTTCCTTCATCACTTCAACAGGATATTGTGTAGAGATCAAATGATGTTTCACTGGCACCTGTTTCTGTTAGAGGTTTTTTTTTTTTCATTTTCCTACATAAGAGAAAGGGAAATACTGTAGAAAACCAGTTAGCAAACGAGGGGGGAGTATAACAATCTAGGTTTGGAGATAACAATCCAAAAGTGGCTGGAGAAAGACTTTATTTCCATATATTTTATTTGGATAAAGTTGGTTTGGCAGTTTCTACAGGGAAGAAACTGAGCCAGAAACAGCGCATCATAAAAAGGAGCATTCAAGAAATAACTGTATTTTCTTGCATATTGAGCAGCTATTGCTACAATGTTATGGGGTATAATTTACCAACACCTTCAGCCTTTCTTCTTTTCTTCTTTCTCTTTCTCCTTATTATTAGTCTGCATCAGAGCAGAACAGGTACTGCTCACGCAGGAACCAGCCTGGATATCAGGGGAGCTTGGAGACCAGATTCAAATGAATTGCCAGCAGACCAACACAGATCACAATTGGATGTACTGGTATCGGCAAACAGCAGCAAAGCAGCAGCTGGAACTGATTGGTTACATAGTTAAGGGAGCACCACAAGCCACTTATGAAGATGGATTTGAAAAACAAAGATTTGAGATTCAACAGAAGCATAGTAAACACTGTTCATTGCAAATCAACAAAATGAGCTCCGAGGATGCTGCTGTTTATTTCTGTGCTTCTAGCTTCACAGTGCTAGAATGTTTCAGGGGCTCCCTGCAAGAACCGTCTCATGAGTCTTCACATGGAAGCTTGGAGTCAAAATTTGCATCTCTCTCTTTCTTCTCTCCTATGTGTCTGCAGAAGGTAGATAAAAGAAGTAAAGATAGTGGCCATACATCTATCACACAGTGCTAAACTTCTCTTTTGAATGGATGATGTAGCTGGACTACCTGATTTGGCCTCTGTGCATGTTTACAAATCCAGGTAGTCGTATGAGTCTTGCAACAAATTAGGAGAGAACTTCAAGCTCCTCCCACATGAATAGGAGAATCAGATTGGTTTGGATAAAGCCTCAAATAACGTAGCTTCTTAAGAAACAATAAGTTATGTAGTTCAATATACTTGAAAGATGTTCACAAATCATTTCAGAGTAGACAACTAGAGAAGACAAATATTTTTCTTCCAGGCTTTAATGAGTGCTTATAGATGTTTTGTAAGAATACCTAGCAAATTTATATGCTTTTAAATGTTTCATATTTTCTCAATAATGCTTAGTAACTGTTAGATAAAGTAGTTGTATTCCATCTTGAAAAAGGGGTAAAATTTTGAGCAGGGATTCTTCAGTTAATCACCAATGCACTACACAATCTCAATTATATCCCTCTTGTTTAGCTAAAATTTTAATCTTTATGTTGTTGTTCTTAACTTCTCTGTAGAGATGTCTTTTTCTGACCAGGAAAGTAGATAATCAATCAGTCAGTCAAAATTGATTTTGGTCAAAGACCATTTTAGAAAACAATCTAAGTTTGGAGATAACGGTCTAAAAGTGGCTGGAGAAAGACTTTATTTCCATAAATTTTATTTTAATAAAATTGGTTTGGCAATTTCTACAGGGAAGAAATGGAACCAGAAACATCACATCATAAAAAGGAGCATTCAAGAAATAACTATATTTTCTTGCATTTTGAACAGATATTGCTATGATGTTATGGAATATAATTTACCAACACATTCCTTGTCCATCTCTGGGGAGATTGTTCAGCCCCCACAACAGAGTCATAAAGAATATTCTGGAGAAAGGATACCAGTTTGATGCAGCATTAAGAAAGGAGAAGGGAAAAATGGACTGTTATGTCTTTCTGAACAGAGAATACTTTCAGAAACTCTGCACCTGCCTGCCTTTGAAGATACTCACCAGTTCCACAGCTGTCACTATTCTTGGAAACCTTCACTTTACTGCTGGAAGTGGTGACAGAGTAGAAAAGTAAAGTCTTTCTGTATGAGACTCAATCATTGTGGGGACAGGGGGCACAATGATTCATTTCATGGAGAGCCCTTTACAAAAACCCTCCCTTGCTTACCAAATAGGATCTAGCCACAATTGCCATAGTAGATTGTACAATACAGAACTGGGTGGCTTTTTTTTTTGCTGAGATCTCTGTCTCTTATGACAGAGTCTCCCCTTATGTCTCCTACACATACAATCCAAAATATGGATCCAGTATGTAGATGACACCTTTGTTATAATAAGAAAGGACCATCCAGAGAACACACATGAAACCATCAACATACACAAAGGGATAAAATTCACAAGAGAAGAAGAAGAAGAAGAAGAAGAAGAAGAAGAAGAAGAAGAAGAAGAAGAAGAAGAAGAAGAAGAAGAAGAAGAAGAAGAAGAAGAAGAAGAAGAAGAAGAAGAAGAAGATAATACACTACCTTTCCTGGATATCCATATCAATGGAGACAGTGATGGCAAACTAGAAACACAGGTCTATCAAAAAACTACCCACACCAACCAAGTGCTTCACAACCAAAGTAACAACCCAACCTCCCATAAGAGAAACTGTGTACGAACACTATTTAGATGAGCACAGACACACTGCACCAGCCCTGAACATTAGAAAAAAGGAAACAGATCATCTATACAACATCTTTCAATAAAATGCATATCCATGCAACCTCATCCAAATATGTCTGGTCACTCAATCCAATATAGGACAACCAATATAAGCTGTGAAAAGGATAACACTACAGTACATCAAAAACTTCTCAGAAATCACAAACAGATTATTACAACCACATGGCACCAGTGTAGCACACAAACCAACTAAAGCCCTCCAAAAGAACCTAAATAACCCAAAAGACCCAGCATCCCCAGAAGAAAAAGCAGGAGTCATCTATAACATACAGTATAAGGATTGCAACAGCCACTATGTAGAATGAACAGGCAGAAGACTAGCAGAGTGCATCCATGAACTCTAGCAGTCAGAAGACATAGTGAAATTTAATCCTTAATTTCCATGACACATGACAGACAATCATTTTTTTCAACTGGGAAACAGTGACCATCCTCAACCAAGCCAGGTCCAACAATACTAGAGAATTCCTGGAAGCCTGGCACTCTTGACAGATTGACCATCAACAGGCACATAGACATAAATATCTACATGCCATTCAAAAGAGACAATCAACAAGCCAAAAAGGGGACAAAAAGACTGAAACACCTCCTCACCAGCAATCAACATCCATATGAACACAGATTAACAACAAGATTAACATTAGATTAATAATCAAGAAGTTAGCAACATCCCAGTCAAGGAACTGCCAAACAAGCTTACAATAAACAGCCCAACAAAGAACCATCAAGATCACTCCTACCAACATTGACAGGACAAGCTACTAGAATATAAAATGAAAGCAAACCCACTTCCTGTTAGCACTGATGATGTTGCCTAGTTTGGGTAATGAAATGTCTGCAAGAAAACAATCAAGTTCAGAGAGCACTAAGGACCTCTCATTTCAACCCTGAGCTACAAATATTCTCCTCTAACAAGACCTTAATTGAGCCTGGAATTATGGTTGTAACTTGCGCTGGTTGTTAAACAGGTCATCATGTGACTGAACTGATTTTACAGTTTTTTTGCAGTAGTTATTAAGTAAATCACAATGATTGTTGAATGAATCTGCAGTTGTTAAGCAAACACTGCAGTCAATTAAGTGAACCCACAGTTCACAATGGGCATTTTTTCCAGAAACCGAAAATAAATGCCAGTTTCCAGCAAAAAAATGTCAAAAGTTGCATTCACATGATTGCAGGATGCTGCAAACAGACGTAACTGTAGACTTTTGCTGAGTGCCCCAAATGTGATTGGGTGACCATGGGAGGGCAGCTGTCAGAACTTCAAATCCAGGTCTTTTTTCTGTGTCATCATAACTCTGAATATTCACAAGTCAAGGACTACTTATATATAAGTATATAAACTGGTCTCTTTGTACATTATCTTTAGTGAAGCATGCAAACCAGCATTTTCATTTCTTGCATCAGGTGGGGAGAGCACATCTTTCTCTTTCTCTCCTGGTCACTTTTTACAGAGGCACAATTGAAAGCGTTTTAACAAACTGCGTCACTCTTTGGTTTGGTGGTAGCAGTGCCTCAGATACCATACAGACAGTGGTAAGGACAGCTGAGAAGATTATAGGAAGCTCATTTCCCATGATTCAGGATACTGCTTATAGGCGCTATGTGCTTAGAGTTCAAAGCATTGTTAGAGACCAGTGCTGATCCTGGTGCTTCTGCTAAATTAACAAGTAGCATGTTTTCCGGAGAAGCATGAGCAAGTGAGCTGGACAGGAGCCAAGGATTGGGGCGCACAGCTACAGCTGATCCACGCTTCTGCAGAGCAGCCCAGAAGTACAGATCAGCTGTAGCTGTTCTCCTGGGCTCCTGCCCAGCTCATTTGCTTGCGCTTTGCTAGAAAACATGCCGCTTGCTAATTTAGCAGAAGCGCAGATCAGCTGTAGCCCGGCGCTGATCCTGGCGCTTCTGCTAAATTAGCAAGTGGCATGTTTTTCACTGAAGCATGAGCAAGTGAGCTGGGCAGAGTTCTCCTCTGCCTCTGCGCATGCACAGGCAGGTTTGGCATGTTGCCATGGCCACCGGCAGCACAGCTGCCAGCCACGCTGGCAGCCTGTCCCCCTCCCCTTGTCCCTTCCTGGGGGGGGGAGGAAGGAAGGGACAAAGAGGGAGGGAAGTAAAGGACAATGAGAAAGGGAAGGAAGGAAGGAAGGAAGGAAGGAAGGAAGGAAGGGAGGGAGGGAGGGAGGGAGGGAGGGAGGGAAGGACAATGAGGGAGGGAGGCACAATGGAAAGGAGGGAGGGAAGGAGGAAGAGACAAAGAGGAAGGGAAGGAAGGAAAGAAGGAAGGAAGGGACAATGGGAGGGAGAGAGGGAAGGAAGGAAGGCTCCCATGCCTGTCCCACCCCCTCCACCAGAGACCCACGGATCCCCCCCACATCCCCTCCCACACACCCCACAGGCACTCTGCAACCTGAGTGATGAGCTGGCCATGCCCCCCTGGCCATTGATTTCATTTGTCTAAAAGTTGCAAAAGGTAATCACATGATCCTGGGAATGCTGCAAGAGTCACAAATGTGAAAAATGGTTATAAGTCACTTTTTTCAGTGCCGTTGTAACTTCGAACAGTCACTAAGCGAATTGTAAGTCGAAGACTACCTGTACTTTATCATTTTTTTTCCTTTTTGGGGGGAGGGTCATCGAGTTTTTGACACCTTGCTGGGCGACTGGTGGGTACTCGGATATTGCCTTAACCTAAAAGTGGTACAATGGGTGAAAAGGTTGAAAAGCCCTGCCTTATGCCATCTGTCTTGTAAATTCACAGGATTCCTTTTTTTCGCCATGTATATGTATACATCGAACTAGACTGGTGTTTCTCTGTGTCATATATGTGTATTTATGTGGGTATATGCATAATGGTATTTTTTTGAGAGCTGAATTCAATGAAATTTCATTTAATACTGATTAGTGTACATTTAAAGTGACAATAAAAATTCTCTTCTCTTCTCTTCTCTTCTCTTCTCTTCTCTTCTCTTCTCTTCTCTTCCCTTCCCTTCCCTTCCCTTCCCTTCCCCTCCACTCCACTCCACTCTACTCTTCTCTACTCTATTCTATTCTCATCATGCAATACAGTAGGCAAAGGAAAAAAATATAAAAATATGGAGGAGGGGAAATCATGTTCTTCAATGATGTTGGATGATTAGGTGGGCAATCTGTGCTAGTGAATAAGTAGTCTCTAAACAGTAGCAGAAGCAACAAGCCACTGAACCTGTTGCTTATTCCAAAGGTTTTTTAATGCTAGTTGGCCAAAAAGAATAGCATCTTCTCTTTTTCTGATAAGAACAGTTTCATAGAGGAGGGCTCTTAGATCTGCACCTTTACCTCTATAGAGAAGTGCAATAGCGGGAGTATGACCATCTCATTATTACCAACATATTTGATCCTGATCTATATTTTTCTTCCATAACACTGAAGACCAGGTATTAAAACTTCCTGTGAGAAAGATCTCAGATGTAGCAAGTGGAAGATGTTTAAGATGCAGTTGGAGTGAGTCTTTGACACTGCCCTGGTCATTGTTCTGAATTTCCATACTGGGTATGCGTGCATGTTTGTTAGGAAACAAATAATAACTGTGGAAATCAATAGTTTCATATATAGATATATATGAATAGATACAAACAGAAAAATAGGAATGTAAAGCAATAATGGCCCCTAGGCTTTCACAGGGCAGATTCCACTTCATCAAGGGCAGCCATGTTATCCAAACAGCATTTCCAGAGGAGATTTTTGTTTAATACACACCCTTCCTGTCTTGTTCATAACGTTTCCAGGCAATCCAGACACAATTGTTTTCCATTTGGATTTCTTTCGTCTTTTTATATCATTTATTTTGTGTATTTAACAGACAAAAGTTTACTTGGGAAGAAAAGATTAAATAGCTATACAGAAACGTTTGAGGGCCTGGAACTATGCCAGGTCGGCATGATGGATACGCTTAATGATATATAAAAAGACAAAAGAGAACTTTATAAACAGAATGATCAGAAGATCAGGAAATGAAAAAAAAAAGTACCAAGAGTACTATATAAAATTTGTCAACCTTTGCTGCGATCACCCTTATATTTAATTTAGTTTGGGGGCTGTTTATGTGATTTGCAGTTAATAACGTAAGTATTTTATAAAGCAGGTTCTGCTCTAAGATAATGCCATTTGTCTCTAAAATGTCTCTGGGTTTTTTGGCTATTTTGGAAAACAGACCAACACAGCTGTCCCTCTGGAATGTGGCTCTTACGTTTGCGAGATATATTCTTCACATTCATCTTAGGAAAAAGAAGAGATCAACAGATTTAGTTGGAATTACTCAAGATTACGAGAATAAATAATGAGGTTCTGGAGACAGAAGAAGAGAGAAATCACCCAGACAGAGAACCTGAACTGACAGAGACCTCTGATTTAGTTCATTTTTCCTCATTAAGAGATAAAAAGTCCCAACATTTTCCAAAAAGTTTGTTCATTTATGAACTTATCTTTTGTGTTAATGAGAGATGATTCACACACTAGTGAATTTGTCTCCAACCGATAAGCTCTCTGGGATATTCTTGTAATTCTCTTTAATACTGTGTTAAACTCACAGCTGTACTTTGGCCAGGGAACCAGACTGACAGTCCTAGGTAAGTTCACCAAAGATTGTTTTGTGTGGTTTTCTTGCCTGAGCCCTGTTAAATACATGAGATTAGTGGAAGTGTGTGGTTCAGCTTGCTTCGAAAAACTTTAGAATGTTATAATTGTACACCCAAAGTTAAAAATGATATCTCTTTTCTAAAAGAAAATAAATAAATAAATTTTAGTGATCATCAAGCTCCACCTTGATCATAAGATTATACATAATTATTAATTTTAATTAAATATTGAATATACTGGATGCATGTAATTAGGTTCTAGTTTTTCTAGGTGGAGACATTGAAATGGAGCAAAGCACAGCCAAGTCAAGCCTTGCTTATTGTATCCTTCCTATTTCTCCTCCTTTGCATGTCAACTGACAACTGAATGCCATTTGGGATGATTCAAGCTATAGCTGGAGAGAGAGAGAGGGAGGGAGAGAGGGAGGGAGGGAGGGGGGGAGAGAGGGGAGGGGAGAAAGAGATTCAGGAGACTGAGTAGCTCCAACCAGAATTACCATTCATTTTATTTGGTGATTTCATCATTGTGTACACATACTGAGCTGCATTTTGGAAAAGGAACTCACCTCACGGTACTCGGTAAGAAAAAAATTATAGCTTATTATTACAAGCAAGACTGAATTTCTTAAAATGTTAATGAATGTTTGATCAATCCTTGGTCTAGAATGTAGAAATCCATGTAATTGCCACTCAAAACGCATATGGCTGAAGTACAAATTGCTTCCAGCATTCATTCCTCCACATAAAATGCATTAATCTCATGAACATCTCCTTTGGCTTTCCTTGACCATCATAGGATCTACAGTATTGCCTAAGAAGAATCAATCATGCATGTTAGGATTGTCTCTCTTTCTCTTTCTCCTTCTTCAGTCCCATGAAAATCTGTTGGGTTTCTACGATTTGTTTAAAGAGGAAAGATTGTTAGCAAATTTCACATAAATACACTCTTGGCTGAGGCTGACTAATAAAATATTCAGGAAATTTAATTAATTTATTTTATTGATTTAAAACATTTACATAGCCACCTATTTTTCAACCAACTCTGGGCAGCTTCCAATCAAAAATTAAAAGACCCATAAAATCATATTAAAGCTATAAAACTCAACTAATTAAAACATTAATGTTCTCTGTTCTCTGATGGAATTGATTGCCAACATCTGTTTCTTCATATTTATCAATAGGTCTCTTGGCAATTGTTTACTAAATATTAGATATAATTACAATTAATTATAATTACAAATTATGCTAACCTTCTATAAAAGAGAAACAGAAGAGACTGAAATTTTAGGGGAGATTAAAATCAGATTTGAATCCTTTCTTATTTGTGCTTTACTTTTCCCCTAAAGAAATCATTTCTATTTATGGAATCCTGGATTGAGAAAAAATACTGATGGGTAAACCAAAAGTCTCTGTAAAGGAAGAATTTGATTCCTGCTTTTCATATTGCACCTATTTTTTTTCCCCATATTGATCCTTGTTTTGCAGTGATCAGTTAGTTGATAGATTCACTGCTGCCACATCTAGCTTAGCTGAAAATTGGTGATGTGTTAAGAAAATTCTATAAATCGGGTATGATCCATTTCATACTCTGTTTGGGTCCATTCCCTGTTTCTGTCTTGCTCTGACCCATAACCCCCCCACACACAGAAGTCATACTGAATGTTGTAGTCAACAAGTAGTGGTTATAGGCATCTATGAATCAAACATCCCCCCCTCACAATATCAGTTTTTACATAAGAGCAAATTCATGCTCATACAGGAGACAGTTGTGACTTCTGGTTTGTTGGCTTTCAGCTCAAAGCATGAATGAGATTCTTAGGAAACAGATGGCTTTAGATGGCAATGTGCTCCTTAACTAAATATCTGTGACAAATCAAGAGGAAACAAAAGTCTCTGCCTTCTAGCCTTATTCCTTCTAGTGTTTTATCAGCACTGAATAAACTATGAACTAGGGGCAGAGGGAGCCAACTTTGATGGAACAGCTTTCTAATTGTAACAGACAGAATAGGATGAAGAAAACCTATCAGCTCCTTTATGGATAATCCAGAGGGAATTTATTTCATGACCTTGCCAGCTGTGCAAACAGTGAGGAGACTTACTTTGGAGAATGCTTGGGGGGTAAGGAAATACATCTAATGGAAACTGGTAGAATCATGCTGAAAACATGGCTCCATATTGCTATGGTAATAGAATCTGAGACAGTATAGGTTATGCATGCTAAGACTAGTAGAAATCATAAAACAAAGTCCTTAAAGACTGGGGGAAATAAAAGGAGAGAGGGAGAAACAGCAAGTGTAAATGTCTCGACTCTTATAAATCAATGGTTCAACATGGACAGTCAAAGATGAATATGAACAGCATGTGGATTTTTTTTTTCAAAAGCCTTCCTGCTCATCTCTATCAGCTCATTAGTCAAAGATAGCTCTAATCACTATGATAAGATCTTTTGAAAAAAATGGCCATGATGACCAATGGCTCTCTTATTGTTCATTACATGAAATCACACTGTTTCTATGAAGATCACAAGGAATGGTGGAGTGCTTTGATCTGGACTTCCCATTCTTAAGTACAAAATTCACCATTTAATTTCTCAGTTCAGTTCTCCCTTCTCTACATGTCCGCCAACATCTTGGGCCTTTGAAAGGATATAAATGCAACATGTACACAATTGCATCAAAACATGTAAGAACTACATCAGAGTTCAATTTAGCCTAGAGATGTGTCCCCCCCTCCCCCCAGGAAGTAACTAGAGAAAAAGTTCCTGGTAGTGTACATGGGTGATATTTTCTTTGAGCAACAGGATTTCATGCCGTGCATAAATTCTCCACTGAACTTTGGCCCTGGAACTCGAGTATCTGTATTAGGTAAGTCATGTGCTGTGGGCTTTTACATGGATTCAATGATTTTTGCTGTGGAAACTAGGCACAACATGTAGGATTTTAGGAAGTAACTACTATGTGAAAATTAAGGAAGGGGACAGCATAGTGGGTTATGCAGTGGACTTAAGAAATGTGACTTTGATTCATTGATAAATAACCCCTTACTGTATTTCATCTCAGCCTTCCTTATAGGACTGTGTTGAGGGTAACATGGAAATATATGTATTCCTTTGAACTTCTTATATGAAAGATTCTCCTTGTAAAATATAGATCAATAATCTGGATGTTAAGAATGTCACTATAAATTATAATAACGTTTATGTGAAGTGACTAGGTGACAGAAAAGCCTAGAAATCTCTTCCATACCATCTTCCTTGGCTATATGAAATATATAAAAATTCAATACCAATAAACATGGACTCTTTCTGATGGCCACTGCAGTACTGTTTCTATGATTGTGCAGATCTATGGCTTATTATTTTTTCTTTTAGTCATACAAATTGGACAATATAAAATGTGGATAGATGAAAGGATTATCTAATACAAGGTAACTAGTACTATAGGACACTTATAATTACTATAATATTAATGGCAATAAAGGCACCCAATTGGCTAGGTATTAGTTTATTAAATAATTGAATTTATAACTTACATGTTCTTAATTTGGATGCCTGCAACTGTTAATAAAAAACAAATGTTCATTGATAAACTCTAATATTCACACAAAATCTATCAATGCTATATAAAATCTATAAATAACAACAGGGCCCCAAGAACAGAGCAACATAAACATGTCAAGGAAATATCAGAAGGTTCACTTCAATATTTCAGCTTTGGACATTACTTTTAGACTCAAGGCAATGTTCAGAAACAATGTTAATAAACAGGAGACACTCCTTCAACATAGCCGTTCCTAGAGGTTCATTTATAGGACAGACATATTGTGTACCTCTGACGAGCTCCATTTTGGACAAGGAACTCGACTGACAGTACTAGGTAAGATCAATATAGGAATAAAGGAGATCTGAAGTAATTATTTAGCATATCCATCAAGGTAATATGGTAAAGAACTAAACAAACTGGTTTCTTCCAGATGTTTTGGACCTCAATTTATACTAGTTCCAGCCAATATGCCCAGTGAAGAGGTGAATCCATTTATCTTAAAATAACAGCAATATTGCAAATCAAGGTTTTATTGTTTTTATCCCTGTATAACACACTGGGACTGTAAGTAGAGAGATGGTCAGAGAATAGAACCGTTCTAACACAACAACAAAGTTTTTTGAGTTAGATGTTTATTATGATACATGGAAAACACATTGTGTGTCAATGAGAAACTGCACTTTGGTCAAGGAACCAGGCTTACTGTTCTAGGTAAGGATTATATTAAGGGCATAAGAAACATGTATGATGTACATTTCAAGGGCCAGTGTGAATTGTAGTTATCCTACAGTAGCAATGATTCATAAGGAAGGACAATATGACTTTTTTGTTCCATATTATAATCTTGATATGAGTCTTGTAGTCCTCCTCTAAATTATAGTATGCTGGTCTCTGAATACCTGGATGATGCTAAAGAGATTATAATGTAGAAGGACAGCAGAAAAAAATGTGTTTTTTTAAAAAAATGAGGGTTGTTAAGTTATTTTGCATTTCTCCAAGTTTTTCAGTCTCAGTTCAGAAGAGTTTCAAACCTCCTGGTCAATCGTACTGGTATTCTCAACAGACTATGTGTTTTCTGATAGTCTGTAGTGCAGTGCCAAGAACTGGATGTAATAATTAAGGTAAGGTCTGACCAAAGCAAAACAAAGCTTAGTTGTTATTTCCTGTGATTTGGAATGTATAATTTTATTAAGGCAGCCTAAAATTGCATTTGCCTTTTCATTAACTCATACTCAGCCAGGCATCTTATCTTGTAATGGAAAATTAGTAACCAGCCTGTAATGACTGATTTCATGTGTCCAACAATGATTTATCTTGCTGTAGATTCACTGCTACTACTCCCTGTCAAAAAAAATCATCCCCTTTTTAACCTCTGGATTACAAACTCTGGACCCTTCCCTACTCAATATATATTAAGCTACAAAGGGATATAGGGCAAGGGAACCAGTCCTTGATCATATGGTCTACATTCTCAGGTCCTAAAAACTGATGTTATTTAAGAATATGGGCAGCATAGTGTGGTATCCCAAAGGTGCTTTTTCAAAGGGCAACTGGACTTCCTTGTTTTTCCTTGAAGATGTTTCGCTTCTCATCCAAGAAGCTTCTTCGGTTCTGACTGAATGGTAGGGAATGGAAGGATTTATACTCCTTGCAGTCATCTAATTGTTAGCACTCTTTCTGAGAGATGTTGAGGCCACTTGAAGGTTAATCTGTGTCCTTGGAGTCACCTGAATAGTGCAAATGGGTGTGGAAACTTCTTGGAACTGTTGAAAGGATTGTGTTGTAAACAGGAGATAGGTGTCTCGTATCCCTCCCCCTCTATTGAGAGAGGGCTGTTCAATCTTAAAATAGATGGCCTCTTAAAGATAAACCTCCAAGGAAGTTCCCCACCATTCAGTCAGAACTGAAGAAGCTTCTTCGACGAGAAACAAAATATCTTCAACTCAAAACAAAAATGTCCAGTTGCCTTTTGAGAAAATACCTTTGAGACAACCATGACCTGGTTGAATGAGAATTTCCATAGACAGATAGCGTGGATACTTCCACAGATTGAACTGCCTCATCTATAAAAACTAAGCCCATTCCTGTCTATGTGGGAAAACCCCATTTTGAAAGATGGTATATAAACTCAGAAAAGGCCAGGTCTGATGTAATAGTTAAGGCCTCAGGTTATAAAGTGGGAAACTCTGAGTTCTAGTCCCTGCTTAGGCATGAAGCCAGCTATGTGACCTTGGGCCCGCCATTCTCTTTCAGCCCTGGACAGGAGCCAATGGCATACAACTTCTAAAAGCTTGCAAAAAAAAACTTTACGGACTTGTTCAGGTAGTTGCCAGGAGTCAACACTGACTCAAAAGCAAAACAAACAAAAAAAAAAAAACCAAACACAACAAACAAACATGCAGTTCTACTATTCTCTGAGTATAGGTTTGGATATCAAGACTTGAGCAATGCTTGGAGCTGCAGATGAAACAGAGACAATGCCTGAATTCCTCAGCATCTCATCTTTCTGCTGATTCTCCACAGAACTCATGCCATCACTGCAAGATTGATTGATTGATAGGTGCATATAGGGTATTTAACCTTTCTTGATTCTCAGCATTTAATGACTGACATCTGAATGAGCCCATCCTGATGAGATGCCCTGCGCTTAAGTAAGAGGGAGCCAGCAATATTACTTCATGATGCAATTGGCAAGCTGACATATTTAGGTCAACCATAGCTTGAGGAGGTTTGTCATCTTTTTCATTATATGTTGCTTTATCTTCCAGAAAAGGGACACTTTATCACCCCCCCAACTGTGACTATATTTTCTCCATCCAAGAGAGAACTGGGAAAAAAGCAGAAAGCTACAATTGTATGTTTGGCCACTGATTTCTATCCAGATCATGTCATTCTTACATGGTCCCTAAACAACAATCCTATAACAGAGGGAATAAAGACAGAGGAGCCCAAATATGAAAATAAGAAATATTCACTGATCAGCCGTTTAAGAATTACTAAGAACCAGTGGCAGAATTCAAAAAACAACTTCAAGTGCAAAGTCGATTTCTACAATTCTTCTACAAGCACAAGTTATGAAGCTTCAATAACTGGAGAAGGTGGGTGAAAGGAAGATCAAGTTCCACTTTCTGAGGCTTTTCTGCACTTCGCTAAAATTGTCCACATGCTGCCCTTGTGAGCATTTTAAAATATATCTTGCTAAACAAAATTACAAATATTAGCAAATGTTTTCATGTTCAATCCCTAGGCAAATGTGATAGCTTACACTAAACCTTTTTTGTACTGATTCATTCTCTCATAATTAACTATTAGTTTCTCTCTCTCTCATCGTATTTGTCTGTTTCCAAATGTGATAATTTTCTGATCTGTGTCTAAGGGTTTCAGATAAAGCCATGACTCCGCCAAAATGTCAGAACATAGCAATGTTTTTTTACTATTTTTTCATTTTTATTATCTCTTAAAAATATTTACATGTAACCTCTAGTGCCAATCAGAACAATGACTTTAAGGAGTGAGTTTTGAGCCTTGCTTCAGAAGCATTGCCTTCAAATATCAGAATATATCTACCTAATATTAAATGTATAGAATTTATAGGATGCACATACACACTTTAGAAACTATACATTTCTAATAACCTTGAGCACAAATTTGCTCCGTTCTCTATTCTTTCTTCTTTGTTTGGGATTTCTTAGTTGTAGTAGAGATGACAATGATGATGATGAAATATAGCTAATGAGAATTTTCCTCCTTCTGTTTTTAGAATGTGGTAGCAACTCCTCCACCAATGGTAAGTCAAATTCAGTCTTTTGATTCCAAATTGTATGACACTGAATCTTTAACTTTCTCCAGGACTCCTAATAGAAAGCGGGTTTTTAATTAAGTGTGGCTGAATTCAACATGTTACATTCCTGACAGATACATTTAATTTGGCAAATGATTTGAATGTAACTGTGAAATTTAACCCAAAAGGCAGGGACTTTTGTATGTAGATTTGATTTCAGTATCACTGAGGATTTCCCTGTCTTCAGGAAAAACAAAATCGTATCTTAAAACACAGCTACAAGCCCATCTTATTTTTTTAAAAGCTATTTTGACTTAGTTGGAGTCTTGGGCAGATGGAATACAAATTACTACTATTTGAGATGATGATAGGAGAAGCATCAGCAATGGCTTATTTCTTTTAAACAGTTTGTAAAAAAACAAGCAAATTCTCTCACATTTTAAAATGGAAGCAAAGAGAGTGCCCATTAGACCAGAATATGCAATCATTTTTCCTCTTCCTGGCTCCAGGTGTGGATTTGCACAAGAAGAATATAGGGTTGAAGTTTGGAAAGATGGGGACAAGAGCAAGATGATAGGTTGTCAATTCAGTAAAAGCAAATCAAAACAATTCACCCTCCCCCCCCCCAAAAAAAACCTGGGAGTAAGGAAAGACTTTTGTCCTTCCCTACAGCTTCTGCTTCCAGGATATCTTTCTCAAAGGAGGGGGGGGGGAATTTTCTTTTTAAAATAAAAGGTAATATTCCATGGATAAGTATTTAAATATATTGCAGAGATGTGGTGCCTCAGCTCAAAGAATTTCTGTATATTTTATAGTTTGCCTCTTGAAATCACATATTCCAGAAATGTGCTGGGGAAGGGAGGAAGAGAAAAACAGTCCAACAGAAGGAGGTCACACTGTCTAGCTTCACCTTGGTTTTATATATAAGCATATATGCAAATATTATATAGATTTATACAATTCTTATATTGTTATTTTCTCCTAACCTTCACATTTAGATTCGTATCTTAGGCAAGCCAATCTTGGAAAACTGGTGTATATTCTTCTCATTTTCAAGAGTGCCTTGTATGGGGCATTTATAATGCACTTGAAACTAAGAAAGAAAGGTAATGTGCCATGTCTGTTCTTTATATCCAGATTTATCCAGTTCCTGAGAAAAATGCATTGTATGTGTTATCCTGCCCTTAACAATATCCCCTTCCAGTCTTCACTGTTTAAAGATTCCTACAGTCTTTCCCTGCAGCTGAGTTTTAATGTTCCTCACCCACCCTTGAAGAGGCAGTTAATGATTGCCAATCTTGATTCTGCCTCAGTTCCCAATCATTGTCAGTCCCTTGATTTTCTTCCTTGGTGATGGAGGACGAGGCCTTGGACCTGACTTTGGGTGGAGGTTAAGAGGGGCGTTTGTCTTACTCATGTGTGATGGGGAGGAGATGAAGGCAAATCATGGGGGACACAGCACAACAAACAAAGCTGTTCGATAAGTTTCTAACAAGATTAGGTGAAAGAGATGGGGGGGAAACACCCTTAGTTAGACTAATCTAGATAAGACAATGGATATATGACCCAATTCCCTCATGGCAATCTGGACAATAACATCCATAAAGAGCCCAAATCTTAGATGGCTAGCATAAAGAAGGAAAAATTATTTCACCGTAGTCATGGTCTGTTTATGTAGGCTTTTTGACATCTTCAGAACTTTGGCTGTTATTCTGTCAAGTCAATACTGAGTCCTGGTGATTGCCTGGACTAGTCCCTTTCATGACAAAGATTTTCAGAAGTGGTTTGCCCTTCCCTCCTCACCATCTCCCAATTTATAGCCTGATGCCTTAACCACTACATCAAACTGGCTCTTCAAATCTTTCCAGTTTATTATTACTTAAAGTTGTATGGCTCTCATCCATTTCACTGGATTCAGGGAGTATTATCAAGGTTCTACTCTACACATTTATGAAATGAATTGTTATTTATGAAAGGGATAATCAATTGATTACACCTGAAGGACCCACAAGACTCTGATATATTTCCCTGAAGGCATAAGATATTCCTAACAAGTATCTTTGTGTACCACTGACATATAAGACTGCATAAGTAGCTCTGGAAAGTAAACACAAAATATATACTATCATAATCTAAATCATGATTATGATTAAACAAATATATGGAATAAATCACCCAAGATTTGCTTGAAGTTGGAACTGAACTGGAGCAAAGGACTCATCATGCAAGAAAAGACAGATTGTCCAGTTTCTTCCAACATCTTCCCTTTCACTATGGGAATTCTGTACTCTGCATCTGGACTCTTTAATGAAAGAGAAGTCTGTATGAAATGTGTCCCTGGGCCTTTAATGGTTGCTGTGGTGTCTAGAGATACGTAACACAGTAACAGAATAACAGTGTTGTAAGGGACCTTGGAGGTCATCTAGGTCAACCCCCTACTTCAACAGGAAGCCCTATACTATTTCAGACAAATGGTTGTCCAATATCTTCTTAAAAACTTCAAGTGTTGGAGCACCCACAACTTCTGGAGGCAATTTGTTCCACTGATTAATTGTTCTAACTGTCAGGAAGTTTCTCCTTAGTTCTAGGTTGCTTTTCTCCTCGATTAGTTTCCATCCATTACTTCTTCTCCTGCCTACAACTGTTCTTTGTATGTTTTGTCCTCCAATGACCTAATCATCTTCTCTGCGCTCCCTCTAGAGTCTCAACACCTTTTTTATACTGTGGTGATAATAAAAAGATAAGCTATTTAATCCAGGATTAATTAGTTGCCCTTGTTTCCTTTTTTTTAGTCTTGTGACAGTTGATGCAATAGAAGCCTTTTGCCTGGGGACATCATGTCTGAGTTGAATGAATGCTGGAGAGAGAAGAAGAATGATTCTTGCCTTCAAAGTCTGGAGTAGCATTCCGATTCTTTTTTTAAAAAAATAAATAAAAATGTTTGGTTGCTCCCAATTTTATCTTACTGCTCTATCTCTATTGGAGCATTGATAGCATTTTCATGTCTCTCTGTGGTTTTTTAAAAAATATTTTAACCATGTTTACTTTGAAGGAAACATGCAAAGAATTGCAGCTTCACACTGAACATGAACTTGTCTCTCCAGAAAATGGACTCCATTGAATTCAATGAAACTCATTCCCCCAGACAGGTGCCATAAGATTATAGAGATGTTACACAATTTGATGCATGCAAATTCTACTGAATGTCATAAGGCTAGATCAAGGTGCAAAAAATAGAAGCATCTTGATCTTTTAAAATTCTTATAACTGAGATCAATAGGCTTTAAAATGCTTAATGTTGACTTTTTCACATGTCAGTAAATCTTTATTTCTTTACTTGTTTTTAGTAAAATCAAAAAACTAACAGAAAACTTTGACTGAGTTTCGTGTGTTTCATTCATAAATTCAGAGGTATCAAATTTAAGATGACCAAATGTTGCAAACTAATTCTTCTAAGATAAATATTATTTTACAACTGGAGGGGGATGTGGAAGGTTTTTCCTGTTTTAACTGATCAAAGATGCCCTAGTTTTTAGTGAAATATATATCTAATACTTTTCAATAAATTTTGGCATTAAAGTGTTATAAAACCAAAGGCAATTAGGTGGGAATGAACACAAAGTCTGTCTCCATATTATAATTATATAGATAAAATCTGGTAACCGAGATCTTTTTTCTGCAGTTTAGGTGATCAGGTACATGAATTTTGTTGTTGCTGTTATTGTTGTTGCCAGAGGTGTCTGCAGGAGGGGGCTTATGGTATAAGCAGCAGCATCACACTATAAGCACTGCCTCTTTTGTACATGTGTTGTGATGTTGCACATAGATATGAAACAGGCACAGCTTGCATTGCAACATGACAACATCATTTCAGTATTTTGACAAAACTAAACATGTCTGATATTTGCTTGCAGCTCTGGAGTGCTTTTCCCTGGGAAAGAAATTTCATGAACTAGCCATATTTGGTTCATAATGCTATGAGTGAGGAGGACTTCTTCACATTTTACTGCATATGAAACACCATGCCAGAGGAGACATCCCTTTGATCTTGATTGGTTCCTACTGTAATGTGATATATGTGAGCTACATGTGCAATGAAATATTGCTATCATTTAGAGCAGAGGCACCCAACCTTATGGGTACCAGGGACCGGTTCTGTGGAGAAAGGTTGTTCCATGGACCGGAGAGTGCATGGTTTTGTGTACTGCCTGCATCCCACAGATGGGACTTTCCTTGTTTGTGCGGACCAGGTGTGGGCATGCTGCAGCCCAGTACCAGTCCATGGACCAGGGGTTGGGGACCCCTGACTTAGAGCAAGATATTAATTCTGGAAACAGAAGAATTGGATCTCTCTCCCTCTCCCTCTCCCTCTCCCCCTCTCTCACACACACATACATGGGGGGGGGGGGAGAGAGAGAGTTAGAAAGATAAATTCAATTATCCACCTCTTTTCCAAAAACATGGCGTAGCTCTGATGAGGGTGACTGACCTACATCTCAAGGGATCAAGAGAGCAGCAGGGGGAACCTTGTGCTTGAGGAAACAGCAAAACCATTCCCTATACTTCTTCATATTTTTTTAATTCATGCAAATGGCATGATTTCTGTCCAATTCAGTCCTAATTCAACCTGCCCTTAAAACTGAGCCACTCAATATTTTTCTTTCATCTGGATCACTCACTTTTGTATTCAGTCTATATTCTTTAAGTATCTACTTATTTTTGACTCTATTACTTCTTTCTTTCTTTCTCTCTCTCTCTCTCTCTCTCTTTCTTTCTTTCTTTCTTTTTTTAAAAAAAATCGCATATGGTTCACCCATTCCTCCCTCCCATTCCCACTGTATTCAAGTTACTTTTACCTTTCTCTTGATATATCCAACTTTTACTTCCTTATAATAAAGTGGGTAAAAGCATGTGTTACACATAATGCATCCTGACATCATAGAGCTAACATTAGGTGGCAAAAGGGTGAAATTTTAGCATTGTAGTTTTGGGCCATTAGAGTGCTGGTTATGGGTGCTTCTCAAGCCAGAAAAAAATTGAAACACACACACACACACACACACACACACACACACACACACACACACTAATGTCAAGGTTTTACCATAGCCCTCTTGGAATTTGGGTGGCTGATTTGTGTCTTCTGACTCCTCACAATGCCCATTGCTATAAATATGAAATATTTGCACGTGAAATATCAATATATAAATAATTTTATCAACAAAGAGACAAGGAAGACAACATGAACAACATGGTTTTGGAGTTGTTTTGCTTCTAACATAATTTTCCAGATCCTTTCTTCTTCTCCTCCTCCTCCTCCTCCTCCTCCTCCTCCTCCTCCTCCTCCTCCTCCTCCTCCTCCTCCTCCTCCTCCTCCTCCTTTAACCCATCAGTGATATCATTGTATCTATTTATGTTACATTACTTTATCATAATATAATTATATAAAATGAAAAATCCAAGTGATGTCTGCTGCTGTCTGGAAGGCCTCATCAGTTAGTTTTTGTGAGAGACAGACATTTTAGGTATGGTCATTCTGAAAAGCATATACTGTATGGACAAGAAATTGTAGGTTAGGAGATGATGCTAAAATGACATAAAGAAAACACTAACTCAGTAAATCATCTTTTATTTTTTGGCAGAAGAGGAATGATAAATTATTTTCCCTGGGTAAATTATTTTCATATTACAATATGAAATGCTGTCACACTAGTAGTCAACTTGTCATTCTTGCTGTATGAAAAGGAGAAAGAAGGGCTTGTAGTACACAACAGGATGTGGCTTGATATTTCCCTGTATAACAGTTTGTTTTGAGCAGTGGTTATCATGGTATCTGTTCCATTACATTGCAGAAGTTCAGTGATCTGTCATCCTTCCTGCTTTGGTTTTAAATAGCCATGTATCTACATATCTCACTTCTGCAAGTGGTTTTGTTGCCTGGAGCTATCACTCCATCTTTTGCTTCACCCCAAACCTTTTGATTGATGTTGCAGGTGCACCAGCTGAAGAAAAGGCAAAATGTTTCAAATAGAAAGTTTGTGGGGATTAGACGTTACTGCTGATGTGCTTTGATAAACGGAGAGGGTCAATGTTTTGGGGGGGCTGAGCTATGTCTTGTGCTGATTTTTTTTTTAAAAAAAATGTGGCCTCAAATGCTCTAGGTTTCAGTGACATCTTATTCTGTCCTTCAGAAGACTCCCCTGTTGTTTGGGGCTTGCTTACTATGGGACTGTATTGTCTTCATCATGTAATCTTTACATTTGCCTTTAAGTGGGCTGAGAAACGATAGTATGGTTAATGTTGCTGGTACTTTACACTAAGAAAATAAACAAATTAAAAGCAGAGAATTTAGGCCACATAGCAGGGAAATACCTAGAGTTTTTTTTATATAAAAAATCAGGATGCGGTTGTCCCATTTCAACTTTCCTACAAATCAGCAAAAAGTTTTTGTAAGTCTTGTTACATTTCAGCATTGACCATATCTGAAAAATGAGATGATAACCCACATGGGTTACTTTACTAATATTTCTGACCTTTTTGTTGCTGGAATGTGAATTTATTCTGCATTCAAATAACAAGCTTCATCGTCACTTTGCAAATGTTGGGCATGTTCTAGCCAATGAGAAGCATATCTTAAGTGTGTTGGAATGTGCACCTGTAGCAGCAGAGGGCGAGGATTTTACCAGCTCAGAACTTTCTCAGGAGACCCGTATCAAGAGACTGTACAGTCCCAAGCTGGAAGAGAGACACGGAAAGAGGTTCTGAGTAGCCCTACCCTACAATCTTTCTATAATCTAGTAGGTTAGAAGGTTATAGCTATAGCTTGACAAGATTCTGTCTACTAGGTATAAGCAAATAAAGTACTGGATTCAAATAGGTTTAAGTCTGACATTAAGTTGCACTGATGTCCCTGAGACAACATGAAGTTGAGTACTTATTATCCTGCTGTAACAACTTAACATCACATTATTATCCCCATTTTTTTGTTTTCTCAGATGGTCTTTTACCATCACTTTTCAGTTATAACCTAAAATTACAGTTTTTTGTTACTATAACTGAATGACACCCAAAGCTTCCTCTGATTCCATTATACTTTTCAAGTGATTCTTTTGTTATACTCTGAGCACTGCTACATTAATGTATTGGTTGAATGTAGAGTCATCCATTCCTATTTTAGTTTGCTGCATAAAAATGATGATGTACTCACAGCAACACAAGTTCCTCCATAAAATTGCTTATCAAGAGCATCTAAGTATAGAAATAAGAACCCTCAATTTTTTATGGCATTGGATATTGTGATGGAAAATAGTTGTACTAGAATTGTTTGGAAGCTTATTGAAAATTTGCTAAATGACTTTAGCCCAAAGTAATAGAAACTGTTATGTTAGGAAAAGCCTAGTGAAGAACAACTGGGAATGCATGCTGATAATTAAAAACCTGGAGGTGTGCATAAATTTAAAAAGTATTTATTAAAGTGATACTTAAGATATAAGCAGGTTCAACATGGCTCCTAGGTAACTGATATAAAAAAAAACAAAAGAAAGAAATCAAAATGAGAAAACGATATGTTGAAAGAGTGAATGCTGGAAGAAAGCTCATTACCTAAGGTTAAAAAAGGATAATATTACAAATGTATTGTAGAACTGTGTTATTCAAGGTAAATGTAGATTTGATGTTTATATGATTAGTTTATGGGCCACAAACATTTCAAGATAAATGTCAAACAGATCAAATCTATGTACCCAGGAGATTACTTAGATTTAATCTGCCAATGTTATATTTGGGATTGTCTTCTCAAATGTATGGTTGAATGAGAATTTTGTGGAGTTCTGTAGGCCCTTCTTGCAGAAAAATAAATATCATCAATAGCAAAGTAACATTTAGGAAGCCCAAAATGCATGATTGAAACTTAAATTAAAATTTAAAATGAAT